TCCTGTGCTGTACCATCTCGTGGGTCACCGTGCGCGATGGGCTTAATTGAAAAAAAAAAATGTTTTTTTTGGGCTGTATTATGCTGCGAGGTGCTGTGTGCGATGCGGTCGTTGCATGAGAGGGAATAACTGTGTTGTGGTTGAAAAGTTACGACGGGATTGATGGTGTGTTGGTCGCCTGCAGATTTGCTTGCTATTGTGCTTCAATGTACGCGTGTGATCGCGATATGCTGATTGCATGTGCTGTTATACCGTTCTGTATATGTGTTGCGGTTCCGGGTGGGGGGTTTTTTTTTTTTTTTTTTTTTTTAGGGAACCATCGGTTGATGTTACGCTTGTTCTTGTTATTGTTACTGTTACGAGGCACACGTGTATTGACGGTGTTAATCTTTATTCTTGGGGGTTGAGGGATTGTTGCAGCCGGGACGGCTGCGAGCTGTACAGGGGGGGGTGATGTAGGGGTTATTACGGGAGAAACGGCGGACAACAAACACAGGGCTGTCGGCACTCACATACACGGGGGGTCACACCGACGTCCGCATCAGTTATTGCCCACGCCCCCAGCCCTCGGAGGCGATCCCTATAAAAGGTGGAACCCAAAGAGCTCGAGGCAGTTCGACACGAAGCTGACCAGTGAAGATCCAAGACTCGGAGATTAGGCCCTGGGACTCCCCGGTCTCGCCGTCCTTATAAGGGCCGAGCCGGGTAAGCCAGTGGCGCGGCCCAAGAGCTTCCAGACCGCTGCCCTTATCAGGGCAAGGCTGGTTAGCTGGTGCCGAGATCTGTGCTTGCCAGGGCCAGATCAGTCAGCCTCCCGTAGCCCAGTAGAGGAGGACTGGGGGACAGGACAGAGGGCTTAGTACTAGGGTGGGTTTCCCATAGTACGGGTGAAGGGGCCGATACCCCTTCAACTATTGTATCTGTCCCGGAGTTAATAAACAGTGTGTCTCAACTTCCTCATCGTCTCCTCATCAACTTACTACACATGTGCTGGGCGAGCCTGATCAGGGAAGGCCCTCGCTGAACAAGGGAGCCTTATACGTGTGCCATTATTACACATTTACTTTTCAAAATCACAAACTGTGTATATTTGTACATTTCATTCTGCAGAAACAATGAAATGCGCTATTCGGTTACGTTTCAAAGCATGCACGATGTAATACAACTGTCAATAGTCGCCTTTGTGAACTGAGCATTGGTGATGATACCATGCTGATAAGTCGTAATAATGATGAAACTGGTCTCTTTTTGTCTCGCTGCTATAGGTTGGCGAGTCATATTTGCTTACGTTTTTGGTTGTGACTTAAGACATAATTTCAAAATTCAGTTCTGCAGGAACTGGTGGTTTTTCGTGACCCTTAAGGTCGGAGAGCTTATTGTACCGACCGTGCATGTTTTGGAGTGTTTAAATGTTTTGGGTTTTTAACGGGTTTATCTCGTCGTTAACAAATGTAGCCCATTGTTCCAGCATGTGGGTTTACTCAGTGGGGTGAGAGGAGGGTGTCATTTCTTGCCCACCATCCGACTGAGGGAAGCCTCACCGTGAAGTCTTAGACACCGCACAGCACCGAAGTGCATTGGAGCAAGCACGTGACACTCACCTGCTTCTCACTCGTTCTCTCTTAATGCCCCAAATACCAGGAATTCCATCACTTCAAAAATGTCCTTGGTTACTCTTCCATCTAAGTCACAACTTGATTCTCAGCTGTCAATTCTTTATAACTTGACTTGCATTTGACATATACCTGTGTCTCTGCACACATTAATATACTCGTTACCTTATTTCTGTTGAATGTTTATGCAACTTCATTGTAATTGTACTATGATCAGTCTTTTAATTTATGTATCTGCCCAAGTCACTCTTAGCTACAGGGAAATTTATGATTTTCACATTGATTAATGTTTTGCTAAATATTGTAATTGTCACGTGACACGGTTGTTGTTGCTCTTTATGCTTCGATGCTGTACTCTGATTTAGTTTGTTTTGCTTTGCCATTTTGGTGACTACGACCACTCTTGAGCTCTGACCTGGTTAAACAAATAAAACTTAACACTAGAACTTGTTGTGGAATGAGCCAGAATTAACATCACCGTACGCCTGACATGTGGCACCTTGAGAGATTGTGAAAGGCGCCTAATGTTTCAATTATTATTATATATGGGCCTGGAAACAAGCACTGTATATTGGTAAATTATTTAGCCGAAAGCTTGATAAATTATTCCTCAGAAATGGGCTTTACACAAATAAACTATATTCATATCATCACCCAAACCCACTGACTTTTCTTAATCAACATGATGTCGACAACTTTTGCAAATTCTCTGATCCATGTGTTCCTCTGTTTGCCTGTTTTTTTATGTATTACCACAAAAATGCGAGATCAACATACCACACCGAAAAGTTCCAGCAACAGGATACAAAAATTCCGCGGACATCCATTCCGGTGGGGTGGAACCGCGTGAAAGGCAAATAATGAAGGGAAATAGGGCCCGCTACCCCACCTCTGTCTGCCCCTTATATAATTACAAGCATACGCCTCTCCCGTGCTTCGTTGCACACTTTTCAGCCATTTCCATTTTAATTATCAGTGTCCATGTTTACATTCTATAAGTCAGAGGAGGTGATATGCCAAAATTATTTTTAAAAGGTACATTCGTTTGTTGCTTAACATGATCTGGTTTTCAAAAGTACCCTACCCCGTCATTACTTGTCTTTTTATTACATCGCTTTGATGCTGAAATATCTTTATTTGTTTAGGGAACATTCACGCAATTATGCTTAGCCTTTGTCGATTAGGAAAAGGCATTTAACTCGACGGAGATTGATGTAATTATCCAAGCGCTCGCACACCAATTCCTAAATAATATACTGTACTTTAAATAATAAAATCTATTTTAAGGATGCAAAAGCTACACTGAGACGGCCTTAAGAAGTTAACCAAACGTTGAATCGGAGTCAAAGAAGGAGCTATGCTTTTGCTACATTTATTCACAGTGACATTCAAAGATACTTTCCAAAGTTTAGATTGTCGAAATGACGGCGTAAATATAAATAGAGAAGATATGAACTACGTCTGACTTACTGATGACACGGTGATCATTACAACAAATGGAAATGGACTACAGGGTGTAGTTGAAGAATTTAATGAAAGCTGAAAAGGTTGGCTCAATATATGTATGAGCAAACAAAAGCCATGTACCGACATAAATGCTAAATCAATATTTAACAATGTTTTTGAGCAGTTTGTTATTGGGATGAGACCTTAAAACTTTGTGCACATCGAGGTTATATTTTTATTGGATGGAAGGCTGCGATTTAAACCAGACATTTCGACCACTTAGGCTCAATGCTCTGAAACAACCAAAGAGCCACCGTTTTCAGAGCCTTAAATTCATGAGTTTTTCAAGTCGGGCTTGTCCAATATCACCAAATGTTAGTGGGCTTGCTATTTGTTCAAGCGACGAGGCTGTTGCGCAACTTTGTGGTTCTCAAATTCCAAAGCTGTGGATTTTTTGGTTTACTGGTTTCCCAAGTTAGCAGTAAGCGCCGCATTGTTGTGAATTTGGCGACCGCGTGCGTTATGTTTATTCCCCAGATTCCACTCATCTGGCCTTGATTCTGCCTGGGCCATGGTACACTATGTTCCTATAGCAGTGTTATTATCTGCCCAGCACTGTTCAGGAGTGTGCACTTGAAGTGGCAGTCATCATTGTTGTGGAAATGGCCTCGTTTGTGCTGAGGCATTTACGTAAGCGTAGTGGCTAAGTGAACAGCGATTCGCTTTTATTAGAGCATTGATTTACTCTCCAACACACTGGTGTGTTGCTGTACCAGTAACGAATTGGCATATTCTGTTCATGTGACAAACCTACTAATCGGCTGTGCCGGGTGGTGGTGGGTTTAACAACACATATTTACACGATCTAACCCAAAAAACCCGTATTATGGATGATATTTGTCACAAAGCCCACTTGTTAATCAGAGGATTGAGTTGGTGATCCTGACACTGGCTTGATAGTTTCCAAAATAACTTCCCATGTGTTGTGATCTTAATGGTCCCAGATGAATAGCAATGCCCTTTATATGCCCATGGAATCGTCACTGAGTCACGAGGCAATGTTTTCAGCAAAGACAAGCATTGCAATGTTTGTCCAGATCCTTTTTAACGAGTGGCATATGGCAGTAAACCAGGGTATCTGCACAAACCCATGCACATGAGGGGGTGACACTAAAAAACTGGGCAAGGATTCAAGAATCCATTGCTGTACTGCCATATCGTGTCCACCTGTAGCCCTAGCCTGCAACACCAGGAAATGTCCATAGTCTCTCATCCGAGTAGCAGTACAAACCAGGCTTAAAAATACTGCTGAGCTTTTAAGATCGGATGAAAATTACTGGTGGAGTCCAATAAACCATCAAATTACTGGTGACGTCCAATGTTGGCAATCGTTCCCTCAGTTAATCACCTCCAGTATGTAATGTTCAGAATACTGTAGCCCGAATATATTTAAATGAATAACAACCCATATAAAGCAACAAACGTTCTTTCCACACATTCAGCACTTTGAACACTGTCCCATCAGCCAACAAGGCTGGAATTCACTTTTAATTATGTCACTGCAGTTACCTCTGTTAATTTTGCATGAAGAGATAGGGAATCGTAATGGTCTTCATATTCTTGGTTCCTTCGGTAAAGTCACGTAGATAGAAAATAAAAATAAAAAAGTAAAAATACAAATAATACGTTGAAAATAATAAATGCAAAAAAACCCACGACGTTTCGATCGCAACACAAGCGGTCTTCATCAGGCGGAGAGAAAACGAAAGTTTTAAGTCAAAACGTAATGGTCTTAGCATAATAACACGGTGACCACATTACCAATGGCATGCTGCCTTAGATGTCAAGCGAGTAAAGGGGTGCGTAATCCGGGTCATTCTGGCGACACCGATTGCGTACAAAGAGTCACTGGGCTGCTGTGTTTGCCGCGTGTTTTGGCAGAGAGGTTCCAGGGATCCGAGTTTTACCAGCAATCCGTGCGGGCGCTGGAGGAGCACACGGAGAGCATGACTGCGCTGGGCGCACCGCCCTTGCGGACACATCTCCTGCACCTCCGCGACACGACCAACAACCACGTGGACGCCTTCTCCGCCAAAGTACCAGCCAGGCACACCGGGGGAACACGCAGCGTGGTCGGTCGCGGTGGGAAAATACAGTCGGATGGTCGGTTTAATTGTAGTAAGGCTTCTTGAGATAAGAAGCTTTTTTTCAATGGCAAGGTATTGTGATTAACAAGGTATTGTTAATACCACAAGGTATTGTTAATACCTTGAGTAAATACATTGCGATTCACCTTGTGAATCACCTTGTGATCACCTTGTGATTCACAATACCTTGTTATACCTTGCTAATCTCGTCAAGGAGCATAAACCATAACGTGAACTCCGGTCATCCTCGCAGCGCCTTTTGGCTCACCATAGAATGAAGATGGTCAGTGCATCACGCGCTTTCAGATGTGTTTCTGTGGTCGTCTGGAACGCTTTTCCTTCCGACATCAGCAAGCCACTGTAGCTATGCACTTTTAAATCGAGATTGAAAACTAATTTCTTTACAACTGCCTCTAGTTTGTTGTCCTTCCCCCACACCTCCGATTAGCACAGTTGGCTACGTACGGTGTGAAAGAAGTTCAACATACATACATACAATGGCGACCCAGCCAAAATGGTTGACACTGTAGCAATCAGGTTACATGGGAAGACAGGGTTTTCAGCGGTTGCATTGAACAAAAGCAGGGAAATGTGATAAATGACCAATAAACAACAGGAACTCCGTACAATTGAAAGCCAGCGAGTAATCCAATATAAAATTATTCGTGACACAAGTGAGAGGAACTCACGTTTAACGCGGCATTAAAAACATCACGAATTAGAATTGCATTTGGTAGTAGTAATAGGTTTTTACCCTTTTATCTGGAAACAAAACTGACACCTTTTTTACAAGGAGTCATGTTTGCATTGACCACAATACATGAGGTCGGAATGCAAACACAAAAGACAACTCTGATAATGTATGCACTGTCCTTGAAATTGATTGGTCCACACTCGAGACAGATTTTCTTAGAGCTCAGTCTCACATGGTATTGGACCAGATGACGCCAAAAGGCGCACAACTCAAAGACAACGCACCATCAGAGTATTGAAAGCTCGGGGTGAGCATGTACATTACGAGACCTCCTTTGCCAATAGCTAGATATAGTAATAGGTTTTTACCCTTTTATCTGCCATTTGTTTGTGGGAGTCACAAAGCAATGCCTTCAATGCAGATACAGATGATAGGGTCACAATACTGAGATTAGTGACCAATTAATGCTAGAATTTAGGTGCCATAATTGAGAAGGCCCTTGACACAATATGAATTCTAAATTTCGGAATGGATAACAATCGGAGGCCCGTCATATATAGACGGGGCGGTGTTAAACATCAAGACTGGGTGGCGCGCGTGGATTGGTTGTGAGAATTGTTCTTCAACTTGTTCAGCACTTGTCAGGTGATGGAGGGTCTTCACACAAATTTTGTCGGATCGTTACACGGCCCAACCCAATAATCTATTGTGAACCAGAATTTAACGTGATTGAAATTGTGTGCTTTCACCGGTTATAGAATGAAGGTTCTCTCGCACTTTGAGCTCATGGTGGCAGCCAGTTCACTCACGCCTGGACAATGATAGTTTGCTTTGCACTTAATTTGGTCTCGTGCTGTTTTGAGAGTTAAACGCTCAAATAAATCATCAGGTTAATACGTGTCTCCCCGCTCGAATGAGCGTGGAGCGGTTGCTGATTTACGTCGGTGGCCGTGAGCCAGCGTGGTGGAAATAACACTCCCATAGCGGGGGCCAAGTCTACCGAGAGAGAAGAATCACTGTTGGCCTCCCCACAGAGTGTTGTTCATTTTTGTTGACCCCAGAAAGACGGACGGAATGAGTCAGTCGTAACGTCGGTGTGCACTCGCAACGTTCCGATTGCGAGTTGCGCACTTTGCCACCCAACTGGATGCTTGGACAAATATTGCACCATAGGCACAGTGAAGTACCTGCACAGATTTGAAACTTGCCTTTTGAAGGGCCATTCCAAGGAGTCTGGCATAACGAATTGAGACAGTGCTGTCTGTAACAACATTTCCGTGTTTTGGTGCCAATGGCACAATTGGCATGTATATCATTATGTAAGTTTTAGAAAGGGTATATGAACGAAAATCACGTATAATCAACTGCTTAAGAGTGTGCAGCAGCACAAACAACCTTTGTGAGCACACGAATCTGGTTCTACGACTTTGACAGCACAAATCCCTAATCGCTCAACTCAATATTGGTTGCTTTACACACATCCCTGCGTAGCGTGGGGACAAAGTGGACCCACACTTCGCAATGAGTTATTGGTTAAAGTGCAGCTGCATACCCAGGCAACCGGGTGATGGTGCACACCAGTGCCAGGTGTGGTTGCAGGCGCATCGCACATATGCTTGCAATCCTCTACACTCTTTTTGTGAAAACGAAATACCTGTGGATTATTTGGGTTTATGCGTTTCCTCTGCCAAAGGCACATATCCCTGTTGGCAATATTCTTATTTTTGAAAGCACAGCATTGCTTACCGTAAGTTTCTCTTAGCACACGGAGGTTAATGAAAACATGTTGTGTAATCCATTTTTTTTGTTTTATTTGGGATCTTTCCTGAAGTCCACAAAGGTTTGAATACAATATTGCATGTGTATGAAAGGGAATTTTGTACGTGACGTTTCCCGGCACAGCTATAATGTCAAAAAATAAGAGTGTATTTACAGCTCTTTAATCCACTGCTAGGCGAAAGCCTCCACAAGCCATGTTGGGAGCGGGGTTGTTTGACCATACTTCACCACGCTGGTCAGTGCGGGTCGGTGAATAATTTTTCAAGAGAAGCCACACGAATAATGGTTTTCACAGGCGTCCGTTGACACACAAGTGCACTGCTCTTAGAATAGATCCTCAGCCTCGTGACGTGATGCCGATAGCACAATTGGAATGAAATTGAGAAAAACAATTCAAGTAGGATCAGGTTCAAGATAGGTAAGGCAACGAATGAGCGTGGTTCACAGGATCAAAGAGTGAATATTCTTCAAAGTAAACGTTTTTGGGTTAGATCACGTAAATATAAATGTGTCGTTAACCCACCACCACCCGATACAGCCAATTAGTAAGCTTCGTCACGTGAACAAAACGTGGCAATTAGCTATTACTTCAGCACTTCTGTTCGATGGCGAGTACACCCACGATATTTACAATTTGAGTACGACCTTTCGCTGGTGATTACAACCAGCTTCATCAGGCGATTTTCCAGAATTCTGAAGAAGTCTTCCTGCTTCTGGTCTTAAATAGAGCAAGGTGGTGGGCAAGGTGATGTAGGCAGGTGATGTAGGCAGGTGACGTAGGCAGGTGATGTAGGCAGGTGATGTAGGCAGGTGATGTAGGCAGGTGACGTAGACAGGTGATGTAGGCAGGTGATGTAGGCAGGTGATGTAGGCAGGTGATGTAGGCAGGTGACGGAGGCAGGTGACGTAGGCAGGTGACGTAGGCAGGTGACGTAGGCAGGTGACGTAGGCAGGTGACGTAGGCAGGTGACGTAGGCAGGTGATATGGGCAAGGTGATGGGCAAGGTGATGGGCAAGGTGATGTAGGCAGGTGACGTAGGCAGGTGACGTAGGCAGGTGACGTAGGCAGGTGACGGAGGCAGGTGACGGAGGCAGGTGACGTAGGCAGGTGATGGGCAAGGTGATGGGCAAGGTGATGTAGGCAGGTGATGTAGGCAGGTGATGTAGGCAGGTGATGTAGGCAGGTGAGGTAGGCAGGTGACGTAAGCAGGTGACGTAAGCAGGTGACGTAGGCAGGTGACGTAGGCAGGTGACGTAGGCAGGTGACGTAGGCAGGTGACGTAGGCAGGTGACGTAGGCAGGTGACGTAGGCAGGTGACGTAGGCAGGTGATGTAGGCAGGTACAAAGGTCAGAGTGGGGTTCATTGTAATCACGGCAATTATAATGGATATGTTAATCTGAAAATATGCAGTACATATTACCAGATGGGTTAATCCATTCATGTTTACGTGATCTAACCCAATAAGCTTTATTATGAATAATATTGGTCATGAAAGCCTACGTGTTAATGTGAAGATTCTGCACGTAGGGGGAGAGGGGTGCAGTGGGGCACAAAGGAAACAAGAATGGAACGTTCTAATTTAATGGGCTGGCCTGGCCTGACTACTTATTTCACATCTTGTCATAATTTGTGACAATTCCTCGTATGCACAAAATACATATATATACAATGCATCCAATTGTCATTGCCCTCATTATCTTATCCTTTTCTTCGAAAATTATTTCATACTGTGGTGTTCAGTACGTTGATGTTGTTGAAGAGGCTGTGTGCCGCTTGTTTATGGACATCTGTGAAAAAATAGCTTAATAGCTCATCGGATTCCTCCTGCAGTACAAATCAAGATTCTGGTCCTTCTGATTCTGTGTGGCACAGCTTGCGATCCCCGTGTCTGGGCAGCACGCCCGCGGCTTCCTGAGGAGCAGCTCATCCCGAACGGAGCCCAAAGAGAGGTGATGCAACTTGGCCACATCCACACGATCCCCATCCACGAGATCTCCAACCGCGGTGCCACGGACCAGACCTTGCATCCGTGTTTTTCAGGAATGCTTTGGGATGTCTGATCAATTATTTTCGTAATTAATACGGCGTTTTGTTTATGGGGGGAAAGCCGTGTCCGGAGAAAACCCGTGCGTGTGAACGCGTAACACACTGATGAGTTCAGGAACCCACTTGCTGCGCTGCAATACCCTGGCCATCTTAACAGCCCAGTTGGTGTGGGAGTTTCACAAATCCATGTGATCCACTGGTCCTTGCTTCCATAGTTTTTGATCACAGGTTTGTGCTACCATGCCCAGCTCAATTTGGCATTGGTGGACAGCAGTGCCTTGCTGTGGTATGGCAGTCAGTCATAAGGAGTCACCACGGAAGATGCTATCTCAAGAGTGAGTTGTGTGGCCGATTAGGTTCAACCATGGAGTGCTATATTATGGCTGGGTGGCTATGTTAGTGAGATTCATGTCTGGATGAAGGCCAAAGAAAAAGGTATCTCTGGTTGTAGTAATAGGAAGACACTTATTTAGAATCTACATACCTAGGCCGTGACCCGGGCAGTTCAATAGAGTGCTCCAGTGAAGTCCCTGTGACATGACTCCCATACATATCCATACGTCAACGCCGTGGTCGCTCTCCCTCGGTAAACATGCAACGTTGGGCCAACGTTGGCTCATATGGTTGGAACCGGCCGTTCAATGTTTATGGGGTTGCTACTGCTCTACCGGTCAGGAGTGCCCAGGGTGGGGGGTGCGTGATGCTCTGCGCTGCGCGTGTCCCGCTTGCCGCGAGTGACCTGGCCATGCAGTGTCACTCACGGCCGAGCTAGGTCACAAGGGTCGCGGGTCGACCAGAACTCAGCCATTAGTGAGTGGCCGGTCCGCTTGCCTTACCAATGTGGATGGTCCCGGAACAGCTATAAGCCAGTGAGTCCATCATGGCTTGGCTTTGCGAACGAAGATCTAGGAAGGACATCCACGTCTTCTGCAGGCACGCTGGTGGCTGAAGAGGCCTATGCGGGACAAGCAGGTCCTACCACAACAGCTGCAAGTATAGGTCTCATCTGGGATGGGTGCTGAGGGATCATGGTTCTTCCTCCTTCTCCTTTTGTCCTCCATACGGGCCCTGCGGGTATCTTCGAAGAAGGAGGTGGCCTGGTGGACTGTGTGCCGCCAGGAGTTGCGATCAGCTGCTTGTGTTGCCCACTGACGGTGATCGATGCAGCAAGCAGTGAGGGACTTCTTCAGGGAGTCTTTGTATCGCTTTCGTGGTGCCCCTATGTCGCGATGGCCAGAGGACAGTTCCCCATACAGCACGATCTTAGGCAAGCGGTTGTTCTCCATCCTGGCGATGTGCCCTGCCCAACGAAGCTGTGTCTTGAGGACCATGGCCTCGATGCTGATGACCTTCGCTGACTTGAGGACTTCAGTGTTGGCGACGAAGTCACTCCAGTGAATATTGAAGATTGTGCGGAGGCAGCGCTGATGGAAACGCTCGAGGAGACTCAGGTGACGACGGTACGTGACCCAGGACTCAGCGCCATACAGGAGAGTGGTCAGCACAACAGCTTTGTAGACGTTGACCTTTGTGGCTCTTTTAAGAATTCTGTTGTTCCAGACACGTTTATATAGTCTGCCAAATGCACTGTTTGCCTTGGCCAGCCTGTTGTCGACTTCGTTGTCGATCTTGGCGTCAGACGAGATGACGCACCCCAAGTAGCTGAACTGGTGGACAGCTTTCAGTTCTGTTTGTTCAATGAAGATGCTTGGTGGATGGTGCTCCTCATGGGGTGCGGACTGATGAAGAACTTCAGTCTTCCTCAGGCTGACTTCAAGGCCGAAGATCTGAGCTGTTTTCGCGAAACAGGACGTAATTCGCTGCATAGCTGCCTCTGTATGAGCAAGGAGGGCGGCATCGTCAGCAAAAAGCAGCTCCCTGATCAGTTGCTCCATGGTCTTTGTGTGGGCCTGCAAACGCCTCAGGTTGAACACGCTCCCGTCGAGACGAAAACGGATGTATACGCCATCAGCGTCGTCGAGGTCCTCTGTGACCTGCTGGAGCATCATGCTGAACAAAATGGTGAACAGCGTGGGAGCAAGAACACAGCCCTGTTTCACGCCGTTTGCAATAGGGAAGGGCTGCGAGAGATTGTTGCTATTTCTGACTTGTCCAAGCTGATCTTCATGAAGCTGGACGATCATGGTGAGGAACTTCGGTGGGCAGCCTAGCTTGTCCAGGATTTTCCAAAGTCCCTGCCTGCTCACGGTGTCAAACGCTTTTGTCAGGTCCACAAAGGTAACGTACAGTGCTTTGTTTTGCTCCCGGCACTTTTCCTGAATCTGCCTCAGGACAAACACCATGTCTGTGGTTCCCCGGTTGGCTCTAAAGCCACACTGGGTCTCTGGGAGGTGATCTTCAGCTATTGCGGGTACCAGTCTATTCAGCAGTACTCTTGCGAGGATATAAGCCAGTGAGTAATGATCGATTTATAGTTTTTGTAAAAATTGTATTTGTTACACGGACGATGGTCCCGGTTAGCCAGGTACTGTAGATACCCGGTTATTACACGAGAGAGTTCCGTGGTGGTACCGTAAGCTGTTGTCTGTGTTGGTATTATGAAATTTTGATGAAAATAATAAAAATTAATAATTTTCCGAAAAATGCGCAATTCGCATTAATTATGATAGTGTGTGTATTAATACGCATAAATTATGATAATGCGTGTAATTATATGCATAAATTATGATAATCGTAGTAATTTATGCGGAGGCTTGCGATTATGTTAATGTGTGCAGTTATGATAATTTGCTTAGTTTCGTTTATCCAGAGTTATCAATCAGGATAACACGATTATCATAGATTCATTTACCGATTATCCTAGTGTGTGTTATAATATTTTAGGTCTCCATTTTCATATCTCATCACAGGATACAGTTGTCAAGAATAAGACAGTTTTGCATGGACTTGGAAGGAACACTCGATATGCTTCTGGATTACAATTTTATTCTAACAAGCACGTGACATTCTATCATGCAGGTCAAACATGCGTCAATAATTCATGGGCAAGATTATGCAATTAACTAATATGAACGACAAAAACTTATGCAGTTGTGACATTATGCAATTATGCAATATGAATAACGAAAACTCTTATGCATTTATGTAACTCGACGGCAGCAACTGCTTTGCACGATCAGTTGATATTGAACGCACCACCTCGAAATGGCCACCCTTTTTGAAACGAAAAGACAGTTTTTCTTTTAAAGTCTTATTCGTGTGCGTGCTGTGTGTGCGTTGTCCCCTCGTAATATTAATTGTGTCGTTAGCTTGTGTGGTGTGGTAGGATACGAACAGCTCCTGCTGCTCCCTCGCTCGGCGTGTCGCTCGGCTTTTGCTCTCTCTCTCTCTCTCCACTGCTGGATTGAGCGGCGTTGGCACGATGTTCCTTGAAGAAACTTGCTTGCTTGGCGCTTGATGGTTCCGGGGCTTGGTGCTGCTCGTGCGCTCTCTCTTTCTACTGCTAGATGACGAGTTGGCACGATGCTGTCCTTGAAGATGCTCGGTCGCTCGTGTCGCTCGGTGTCGCTCGGTGGCGCAAGGTGTCGCTCGTTGTCGCTCGTTCAGCGATCTCCGCCTTTCCTGCGGGTTGTTCGCTGGTCGTCACTCTGACGAGGAGCGATGCTTCGTTCGTGGCAGGGTGGACGTTGGCGTCTTTGTTGGCTTCACTCGCAGCTCTGCGACTCAGGGTAGCGATTCTTCTCAGGTGGTGCAGACCTCGGCTTGTAGCTACGCGTCGCTACTCCGCAAACCTCGTCATTCTGAATGACAGGAGCTTCTTCGTTGGCGGCGACGAGGAGAGATGGAGCCACAGCCCTGGAGATCTGTGATGGGGGCCAGAGCCCCTGTCGATCTGAGTTGTATGGATTTTCCTTCGGTTTATATCGGAAAATTCCACTCGGCTTCCCGAGTTGTTCAAAAGCTGTGTCATAAAACCTTCCTGTGGGGGTGGACCATCTGCGTCCGTGTGTGTGTCCGTCCGTGTGTTTCGCGTGCGTGTTTGTCCGTGTTGTGGGGAGACAAAGGCGGTTGTTTCCACGGTGGGAGCACCCGGCGCATGCGCTTATTTATTCGAAGACGTGTTAATTTCCTTTGAGCCATTGCCCCCTTTATGGGTGTCATTTCCTAGCTTTGTGCCTGCGTGTGGAGATCCTCTCGGAAAGACAAAGGCGGCCGTGTTGCTCGCTTCCCATGGGTTGTTGTGTTTGGTTAATTTTGAGAGCCTTCTCCGCCCTTGATTCCTCTTCTACTTTAATTCCGTACTTATTATTTGACTTCTTGTGATTATTTAATCTGATATCCCGGCTAGGAATTTTGTTTTGGAGCGAAATAGATGCCATAATTATTCTTTGATGCTTCGGCCCGGCCGTGTAGATATTCTTTAAAGGTAAATAATGTCAGTACTTAATTAACAATGATGGGTCGCGATTCTGGTGCAATTTTGTCGTCTGGTTTTCAATTGGAGTGAGGATGGATACTGTTTGCTTAATCTTTATGGTTAAGTTGGTAACTTGTGTATTTAACATGGTTCAAAGACCCATCTGTGCTTTTTGTCGTCGATGCTGTTTCTTTGTTAAGAATATAATTATCTCTTCCTCCGTGTCTCCTGGTTATGCAACCCCCCGCCTGCAATTCCCCCCCTCCCTTGTTCCTCTTGTGTGAATTTAGGGGAGTTTTTTTTTTATTACCTTATTGCCCCCCCTTTCATGTCCTCTCTCCTTTGAAATGAGGTATGCGCGCATCTGTGGAAGTGTGGGGGCCTCTGTGGAAGTGTGGGGGCGTGTTCGTTCCCACGTGGCCGCGTCTATTAAAAAAAACGATATTATCTATGTTGGCAGAATAATTCTTAAAAAAAAAATAATATTAAAAAAAATAAAAAGGGGGTACATACACAACAGTCCGC